CCCTGCCCTCAACAATGCTCACCATTTGTCAGGGTTTGCTGTGAGGCAGCACTGGGTTCAGTACCGCTGAGCTGTCAGGAAGGAACAGCAAATACCTCCCAGGTCGTTCTTTCCCCCATGGGAAAACCGGTTTGGAGCGATCTGGGGCAGTGCTCGGTTCCCAGGCGGGAAGGGCTGAGTGGGGCCAGGGACTCAGGTCTGCCTGTGAGCACCTGCCCCTCAACGCTTCCCAGGTTCTTCCCGGTTCCTCCTTTGTTGTCTTTTTTTTTCCCTCCCCTCCCCACTTTTTTCTTAATATGTTTCAACAGATGTATACAACAAACCTCACATAAAATGTACAGTTGGATACATTTTGACCCATATAGACACAGCTGCCACCCCAGGAGTCAGTCCTGCTCCAAGGGCTTGCTGTCTTAGTTGGTCTCATGTCAGGGAGCCTGGGAGGGCCAGGGACTTGGCAGTTGGTCTTCAGACCGCTGGGGTTCTGGCACTGCGTCTGGCCCATGACTGAACCCAAGACAAATATCCTGAAGACTAAAAAGTTAGGTCTTTCAAGAAACCTGGCAAACGAGTTCCCATTCACGGGTTACCCACATTCATGCGTATTGATTTAGTCAAGCATGCTGATGAGAACAAGCAGACCTGTGCCAGAAGGTGCCTGCAGCTGGGGGCTGCAGAGCGGGACACTTAGGGACACCAATGGTGAGGGACACAGTGTGTGGAAATCTGGGAGAGGAGCATGCCAGGGAGAATAGCTTACATGGGGAAGGCCCTGCTCCGGAAATCAGGCAGGCTTGTTGGGGAGCGCAGGAGTGCGGGGAGGGCAGGAGGGCAGGGTGGCCCTGAGAGAGGCGGGAAGAGGACATGAGAGAGCCTCGGAGATGACCGTGAGGCTGCGCTTGGTGGGTGGTGAGCTGGGTGTCGTGTGCTGGCTCCTTGGAGAACGCTCAGCCCCTTTACACCCATCAGAATCCCTGGAGGACTGAGACCACATGCAGTTCTGGAAGCTGGCGGTGCTCTGGGTCCCAGCTCTCCCTTCTGGTGGGTTTCACCAGTGATTGGCCAAGAAGAGATAGAACCATTCCTGGACCAAACTGAGGATTGGGCTGCGATTTCTTGTGGCCCAATAACAAGATGTAGATGAACTGGAGAGGAAGAGAGTTTTTATTTCTGTAACTGGTTATAGGGAGAAGGCCTGGAAATTATCGCCAGACCAACTCAAAATGACAAGTTTTCCAGAGCTTAGATACCTTCTAAGCTATATGTCTACATGTAAATGTGCATTCATCTAAAGAAATAAGTGACTGACTTCTAATCTGTAACTAAGGTCTGAGTCCTGAAGACCTTCCTCTGGAGCCTCAGTAAATTTACTTAATCTAAAACCCTTATCTCGTCTCCTGCTAAATCATGGGGGTTTGGGGAGTTCCTTCAGACCCCCACTAAACTTATTTGTGGAGGCCTGGGGAGTTTCTTCGGACCCCCAATAAAACTTGTTTAATCTTAAATGGGTCCTGTTAAGAATTCCTTCATTATTCTGTCATGCTTTAAGGCCTAGGAAAGGTCTAGGCAAAACTCTTGGTGGGCTTTTGTTACATTCCAGCCTTTGTATAAGAGCACTGGCTTTTAATATTTAAGTCAACCACGTAGTCAGTACTGAAACAGCTGTTATGGAGGCCCGCGTTAGTGAGACCTGGCCTGCCACAAAACATCTTACTCAGAATGGTGCCCTTAACTTCAAACAATCAGCTTTGATGGAGCCCTCCAGAGCACACCTAACATTTCTTCCTTCAGCTTAGGGTCACGGGGCTGGGATTTATGGCACTGTTAAAAGAAACAGCCTTATTGAAGTGTCATTGATAGGCCATAACATTCACCTGTTTCAAGTGAATTATTTTCTGTCAGTTTACAGAGCTGGTTTCCATCCCCAGCCCCTAATACTCCCTGGAGCTCCTTTGCAGTCACTCCCCATTCCCACCTGGCCTCAGACAACCACTTCTGTCTCTCTAGTATGAAAGTTTTATATTTTGATCCATTCCAATTTATTAATTTTTTCTTTTATTGTGCGTCTGGTGTCATATCTAAGAAATCTTAATCCAATGTCACAAAAATTTAATCTTATATTTTCTTCTAACCGCGTTCTAGTTTATGTGTAAGAATCTGTCCATCTTACCTAAGTTGTGTAATTTGTTGGCCAACGGTTGTTCGTAGTAATTCCTTGAAATCCTTTTAATTTCTGTAAGATTGGAATTGGTGTCTTCTCTTGTATTGCTGATTTTGGTTATCTGTGTTTTCTCTCATCTCCCTCTCTGGTCAATCTAGCTGAAACTTTGTCAATTCTGTTGATCTTTTCTTAGAACTGACATTTGACATTTTTTACTCTATCTTTTTCTTTCTGTTCTCTATTTCATTGGTTTCCACTCTAATATTTATTAATTTC